GTTTGTTCTTCCACACACACACAAAAAAAGAGTGTTGCTTGCAGTGTAGACACGCTCTTTGTTATTTTGGACTAACTTACGTTATTCCGAAATAACACTGCTGTGTAGACATAGCCATGTGGTCTTCTTAAATTTTCAAAAGTAAATGTCTAAATATATCTCTCTGGGTATGTCTACACTACAAAGTTAGTTCGAACTAACGTAACTTTAATAGGTGCTACACTAGCGCTCCGCTAGTTCGAATTTGAATCGAACTAGCGGAGCGCTTAGTTCGAACTAGGTAAACCTCATTTTACGAGGACTAACGCCTAGTTCGAACTAGCTAGTTCGAACTAGGCGTTAGTCCTCGTAAAATGAGGTTTACCTAGTTCGAACTAAGCGCTCCGCTAGTTCGATTCAAATTCGAACTAGCGGAGCGCTAGTGTAGCACCTATTAAAGTTAGTTCGAACTAACTTTGTAGTGTAGACATACCCTCTGTTATTTCCATTGGGTATGGTTCATATACTGTCTGGTTTTGTAAAGCGCTCACTCCTTGGACTCCAACTGAACCTTCCTGGGGGCTACTCTGGCTAGCAGGCCTGTCTCTCCTTAATTGTATACCCAAAGCACCTTCTGAGCACAGCTCCATCATCCTTACTGACCAGTCCTATTATTCCCACGCCCTACAATGTTGGAACTGGCTGAAGATACAGTGGGACAGGGTTAGGTGGCCCCGTAAGCTTTCTTTAACCTCTTCTCTACTGGTCTGGGGCCTCCTTGCTCCATCACAAACTTTTTATCGTGTTCTTTTCTATACAGTTCATATTACTAAAACATGGTGTGTGTTTTTTTCTTTTTGTGAAACAATTTTTTAAAATGTCCTTAAAATAAAAGATGTAGGCCTGGATCCAAAAGGACATAGGGTATGTCTACACTACCCTCCTAGTTCGAACTAGGAGGGTAATGTAGGCATACCGCGCTTGCAAATGAAGCCCGGGATTTGAATTTCCCGGGCTTCATTTGCATAAACTGGGCACCGTCATTTTTAAATCCCTGCTCGTTCGAACCCCGTGCCGCGCGGCTACATGCGGCACGAATTAGGTAGTGGAATGAGGAGTAACGGTAGTTCGGACTAGGAAGCCTAGTCCGAACTACCTAGTTCGTGCTGTGTGTAGCCGCGCGGCTATTATCTGAAGACAAGTTTATCCCAAACTTCCAAGTGTTAGATAAAATCTTTGGGTAACTGGGGTACAACTGCACCCAAAATTCCCATATGCCTATTTGTATCTATATCTGTGGAGGGAAAAGGGCGATAAAAAGAGTAACAGCAATATAGATTTTAAAAGTGTTATCATTGGGAACATTTAACCATTACTGTCCCTCATTGCAAAGTGGCTAGCTTTTTCATTTAATTTTTCTTTAAATTTAAGTTAACCTATTTTAAAACAATATACAAATAATTCTGAATTTTTAAAATTTTGCTTCAGATTTACTGTAAGAAAATGCATTCTTCTCATGATGTATTTGCTTGCTTTTATGAAAAATATGTTAGTCTTTCCAAGAAAGATTAAAATACTCCAATTGTCTAAATCTACCAGACGGGGACATTTAAAGTTGTTTTGAATTTCTTTCATTTTTTTAAAACAGACCAATAGGGCTTTCAGTCTAACTGTTAAAAAATAACAATATGTTATTAAATGGTATGTGAAATTTAGACAGCTATTATAAAACAAGTGCTGTTAGAAGGTGCATCATATGTCTCTTTGAAAGGAAGAAGGACAATTTAGGTCATATAACACGATCATTCTATAGAATGTGATAGACTGAGAAGCTGCTAAAGTATTGAAATGCCAAAGGCTAACAATGAATGAGTCTACTGATAGTTAATGAACAATGAACAGGATGATAGATGCCAGGGAACTGGGAAAA